CATACCTGTCGGGGCAGGAGCCGTGCGCTACCGCCTCCGGACCGCCCCCCGGAAAAGGCTGCGGCTCCCGCGCAGCCCGGCCCCGCGCCCCGACCCAGCGCGGCGGCGGCGGCGACGGGGAGGAGCCACCCCCTTCTCTCCGGCCCCGGGAGCGGCACCTGCCCTCCCCACCCCAGGCTGCAGACTCGGGTGCCGGGCTGCCCCGGGCTGGGAGTGGCCTCTTAGCCCCCTTCTCGGACTGCCGCCCTCTCTCCTCCAGACTGTGAACCATCCCCACTGCCCTTGGGAGCCATCTAGTTAGAGCCGCAGACACACAGCCCGGCGGCGATCGAGCGCGCGCACCGCTTCGCTCCTCCCTGCGCCAGCGCGAAGGATGGGCCCCGGAGCTGCCCCAAGCCAGGTCAGCCATTCACCGGGTCTTCTCGGCCTCCCCCCACTCTCCAACGCACGCACGTGTGCCCAGAGGGAGATCTGAGCAAGGACTGGTTCCCTGAGTGTCTTCAGGCAAGCTAATTGAACCTTCTTAAAGTGTCAATAATACCCATCAAGAGGCAACACCCACCTGACGTGGAGTAGGCACTCGAATCGTTACAGCTGTTCTTGACAAGCTGGTTCACAAATCTGACCCCTCCAATCCTCTTTCAAGTGCTGCTGGTTAAGTGTGTTCGAGCCGGACCCTCTCAAGTTGTTCCCTGACCTCAACTGGGTGTATTTCTCTGGCCCCACCTGCCAACAATGCTGGACAAAACCCGATTGCTGGCAGCCCCCCACCAGCCACCAAGCAGCTTCAAGCCAGCATGCTTTTTGCAACCTGGGGCTGTTTTGCACCAGGCTGGTCCCTTTGCTTGGGATCCTCCCACCCCCACCCCAGCCTAGTTTATCCTCCTTATCCTTGAAGGCATTGTGCTGGTGTCACATGCTCCAGGGAGCCTCCTTGACCTCCTAGCACTCTGGATTATGTTATGCGTACCCCTGGGGCATGTTTTTTTTCATGTAATTTGCCACATTGATTTGAAATGATCTGTTTAGGGGTCTCTTCCCCGTTGGACTGTGAACCCCAAGGACAGACATAGTCTAGCAAATCTTTTGATCCCCAGCACCTACCTCAGTGCCTAGCACATAGCAGGTGCTCAATAAACAACGTGTGGTTGACCCAAATGGGATTGCCACATCGCCTCCCTGAGCCTCAGCATTCTCATCTGTAAACAGACGCATACACCACCAACTCTGAGTGACCATGGGAGCAGCTGGGACTGGATGTGGACGAGCTGTGGACACCAAGTGCTCACTGCAACTGGGTGAGCCACAGACACCACTCGGCCACCTTGCCCAGTCATCTGAGGTCTGCTCTGCACGGGCCAGGAGCTCAGAGAGGCTGCCTCCTGGATTCGGAAGCTCTGTGGCAGGAGCCCCAGTTTGGTTGGGGTACCCAGGGCGTGCCCTGTGGACCTGAGTTACTCCAGCAGGCTGGAAAATAGGGGCTCAGAGACCAGCCTGTGACACCATCCATTAGAAGGTTGGGGTAGGGGATATGCACCCCACTGTGGGGGGCGGCTGACACACCCTCCTAGAGAAGGAGACCCTGGCCCAGAGGCAGCAATACCACAGACCCCACTGGGCTCAGCAGCCCCTTCCTCTCCTCATTCCAGACCCTTTTAAAAATGACTAGGGAGACTTCCCTGGCGGTCCAGTAATTAAGACTCCAAGCTTCAAATGCTGGGGGTTCGATCCCTGGTTGGGGAACTAAGATCCCACATGCCCATGTGTTGTGGCCAAAAAATGAAAAGTTAAAAACATTTTTTTTAATTAAAAAAAAAATGACTAGGGCGGCCGAAGTCTGGTATCTGCTGAGATGAGACATGCACCCCTGGGAGGCCCATAGAAGAGAAGCCGTGAGTTTCTTTCTTTCTTCTTTTTTAAAAAAAATTTATTTATTTATTTATTTTTGGCTGCGTTGGGCCTTTGTTGCTACACGTGGGCTTTCTCTAGTTGCGGTGAGCGGGGGCTAATCTTTGTTGCAGTGCTGGGGCTTATTGCAGTGGCTTCTCTTGTTGCAGAGCACGGGCTCTAGGCACGTGGGCTTCCGTAGTTGTGGCACACGGACTTCAGTAGTTGTGGCTCACGGGCTCTAGAGCACAGACTCAGTAGTTGTGGCGCACGGGCTTACTTGCTCCACGGCATGTGGGATCTTCCCGGACCAGGGATCAAACCTGTGTCCCCTGCATTGGCAGGTGGATTCTTTTTTTTTTTTAAGTTGTTGGGGGTAGGAGTTTATTAATTTATTTATTTTTGCTGTGTTGGGTCTCCGTTTCTGTGCGTGGGCTTTCTCTAGTTGCTGCGAGCGGGGGCCACTCTTCATCGCTGTGTGCAGGCCTTTCACTGTCGCGGCCTCTCTTGTTGCGGAGCACAAGCTCCAGACGTGCAGGCTCAGTAGTTGTGGCTCACGGGCCTAGTTGCTCCACGGCATCTCAGACCAGGGCTCGAACCCGTGTCCCCTGCATTAGCAGGCAGACTCCCAACCATTGCGCCACCAGGGAAGCCCCGGCAGGTGGATTCTTAACCACTGCACAACCAGGGAAGTCCAAGCTGTGAGTTTCTTCAGCTTTCTTTGAGTCTGGAGTTTCATTACCTGGAACCTGTGTGTGGACATTGGGGGTCCATGAACCATTTGAGATCATGTGCAAAACTCAAGGTGTATCTGACATTGGAATGTGGATTTGCTGGCAAGAGGATCCTTCCCTTACACTGAATTCCCAAATAGGTACTGGCCCCCAAAGGGTTAAGGAGCATTGTACTACATATTAATTTTATAAAAAAAATAAAACAAAAAACCCCATTGTCTCATTCTGCAGCCTTAGGGCCAGAGTGAGCCCGGTATGTAGCGGAGTTTCCTTCTGCAGGCTTTGCCAAATAGCTGAGGTTCCTGGAACAGGGTGGAGAAGCCCAAGAACCTCAGACTGCAGCTCCTACCTGCCTGTCTCATCCTGTGGCCTCTGGCAGGCCAGACTTCCTCCCTCATTAGTTCAATCGTTTATTCATTTAACAAGCATTTAATGAGCTCTTATGCCAGGTGCTGGGGATCCCCAGAGGAATGATACACACCACCTGCTTGCTTCACGGAGCTCAGTTTAAACCATGGACCGCCAAAGCGGGCTGCATATTCTCCAGGGATATGCCACACGATCCACTATTTTTTGCTTGACGATGTACATCACTTATTGGCAGAGTGGTACCCATTTCTATAAATAAACAACTTAAATGATATATAGACAGTGGATGTGTGACCAGAACAGTTTGGTGACCCGTCTAGAGACCTTGTATCAACCCCCACTACATCTGATTGTTTTATCTTTCTTACTCCTAAAACAGTCTTTCCCCGACCCACCCCCCCCCAAAAAATTGACCTTTTATTTTCATTTTTTAAAAATTAATTAATTAATTTTTTTGGCTGCGTTGAGTCTTCATTGCTGCGCGTGGGCTTTCTCTAGTTGCAGCGAGTGGGAGCTACTCTTCATTGCGGTGCGTGGGCTTCTCATTGTGGTGGCTTCTGTTGTTGCGGAGCACGGGCTCTAGGTACGCGGGCTTCAGTAGTTGTGGCTCGCAGGCTCTAGAGCACAGGCTCAGTAGCTGTGGCGCACGGGCTTAATAGCTCTGCAGCATGTGGGATCTTCCCGGACCAGAGATCGAACCCATCTCCCCTACATGGGCAGGCGGATTCTTAACCATTGTGCCACCGGGGAAGTCCCCAAAATTGACCTTTCAACGAGACAGGCCAGTTGACTTGCAGAATGTCTCACTGTCTGGATGTGTCTGATTGCTTCCTCATGGTGTCTTTGGACTTGATTTTTTTTTTTTTTTTTTTTTTTGTTTACAAGTAACCAAAATAAAACATGCCTGATGGATTATCCCACATTTCAACATACTGGAGACCACGGGTGCACTGACGGAGCTTCCGGGGGTGGGGGGGGCTCATGTTGGGACGGGTGAGACCCCTGCTACTTTCTGTCTGTATTGGAATCCAGGGAAGCCCTGGACTTGATTTTTTAGCCTCCTGTGAACTGGAAGTTAAGTCTAAAAGCCTGACTAGATTCAGTTTAAACTTTTTTGGCAAGGACGGTCAGAGGTGGTGCTGTATTTTATTGGGTGGCGTGTGATGTCAGCTGCCCCCTATTAGTGATGATTGAGGAAGTGACCACCATCTCTCTCCACTGTAAAAATACATTTTCACTTTATGATTAAGAAGTAATTAAGGGGGCTTCCCTGGTGGTGCAGTGGTTGAGAGTCCGCCTGCCGATGCAGGGGACACGGGTTCGTGCCCCGGTCCGGGAAGATCCCATATGCCACGGACCGGCTAGGCCCTAAGCCATGGCCGCTGAGCCTGCGCGTCCGGAGCCTGTGCTCCGCAACGGGAGAGGCCACAATAGTGAGAGGCCCGCGTACCGCAAAAAAAAAAAAGAAGAAGTAATTAAGAGGGGGTAACGATGTTTTGTCACCCTGCCCGTTTCCCAGCAAACTTTCACTGAATGGGTTTTAGCATCCATTGTTGATCCTTGCTTGAATCAATTATTCTTTGGGGGTTGAAGAGTAGTGATATTCCATTTCTACGTTTAATAGAAGGTATCCTTCTAATTAAAAAAAAAATAGAGGTTTCCTTCATCAACTGGGAATGAATTATGTGCCTCCAAAATACACATACACAAACGTAAATGCTTCTTTTCTTTTTGAGTTACAGAACTTTAAAAAAATTACAGTGATTGCTACAAAGCAACCCCAAGGGACTTCTTCCCTGGTGGCGCAGTGGTTAAGAATCCGCCTGCCAGTGCAGGGGACACGGGTTCGAGCCCTGGCCCAGGAAGATCCCACATGCCGCGGAGCTACTAAGGCCATGCTCCACAACTACTGAGCCTGTGCTCTAGAGCCCGCGAGCCACAACTACTGAGCCCGTGTGCCACAACTACTGAAGCCCACACACCTAGAGCCCATG